CATCTTCCTTCCTTCCTTCCTTCCTTCCTTCCTTCCTTCCTTCCTTCCTTCCTTCCTTCCTTCCTTCCTCTTTCTCCCTTTCTTTCTTTCTCCCCCTCCCTCATCTATTTTCTTTTTTTCTCCCCCACCCTCCCCTAATCTATTTGCTTTCTTTGTTTCTTTCTCACCTTCTTTCATTTCACCTCTTTCATTCTTTCCACCTTTCTCTCTCCCTTCCTCCTGTCCTTCCTTCCCCTTCCTCCTCTATTTGTTTTTTCTTTCTTTCTCTCTCTTCTTTCCTCCCCATCTATTTGCTTTCTTTCCTTCATTCTTTCTCTTTTTCTCTCTTTCCCCCTCCCTCCCTCCCTCCTTTCCTTCCTCCTGCCTCCCTCCCCCATCTATTTGCTTTCTTTGTTTCTCTCTTTCTTTCCACCTCTTTCATTATTTCTTTCCACCTGTCTCTCTATTTCTCTCTCTCTTAGACAAATAAATATTGTTAGCAAACAAACAAATATCATTGGACAAATAAATATCATTATCAATACCTGTTTTTACCCTTTTGTTTTTATTTTTGGCAGTCTCCTTTAATTTTAATGAAAAGCAGATTTGCATATTTTCCAATTAAAAACGTATGTGATGTCTGTTCATATTTTGTGGCTCTCAAACACCTGACACTTATTTTATGTGGCTCTTACGTAAGTGAGTTTGGCGACCCTGGTCTATCGCCACCATAGGCCTGGCGGAACATCTTTGTTTTACAGGCCCTGCAGAACTGCATCAAGTCCTGCAGGGCCCTGATCCCTCTTGAGAGAGTGTTCTGCTAGTGCTAGAGCCAAAAAGGCTCTGGCTCTGGTCAAGGCTAAGCAGATCTCTTCTGGGCTGGGGTTCACTCTTTTGTTCACTAACTTCCACACACACACACAGGCCTGTATTACAATAAATTGGGTCCCTAGTCTTCTGTGAGCAGAGGGGTATACTGCTTATGCAACATGGAGAGGATTTGTTTATTTATTTGTCAGACAGCATATGGGTCACAGATATTGTGAACTAGGAAAAGATCCATTCTTGAAGCACTCGTCTTTTGGATCTAAACAATTTTTTTAATTTACTGTTATGGACCAGTCAGGGCTCAGCGACAGTGAGAACTCCTCAGAGGAGGAGTGTCCTTGTGTAGCCTGCCTGCAGTCGACAGGAGTGTCAGCTAGCTGCCATTGTCATTCCGGTTCCTGTGTAGTTCCCTTCACCCCCTCCCTCTCATTCCTTGTTTGCTTGAGTTATGTTATGTAGTCCGCGGAACTTGCCAAGGTCGTGCAGCTGGGTGTAGGGGGAGAGCTTCGCCTAGAATGTTTTGGGTATCTCGCATGTGAACTGAACCTGTGTTGACATTATAGAACTGTTGCGTTCCCATGCAATGGGCGCGAACTGTATGGTCTATTCCCGCCAGCGGGAACTGGACTCATTGGTCCTTACCTGGTTCAAATGTCTATATTATGCCTTCCCTGGTTACCTGTAGTTATTCCTAACAATGTCCTGTTCTGGTTAAACCAACGCTTTGAAATAAACCTTGCTTGCTTTTCAACGTGGAGTTGTTTTGAATGCTTGGGATCCAACACATGTGTGCTCTGGGAGTTCCATGCTCAGATCTTAAGCATATGTGGATCAATCTGCTTCAGGATGGTGGTGCATGGGGAAGGGGGAGCTTGAACCACTCCCCCCCCCCGGCACCATTTTGCTGACCAAACACAGCCCAGGGGAGCTGCAAGTTTCCCCACTGGCACAAACAAGAGTGGCTGCCCAGAACCAGTTCAGTGTGGGAAAACAGTGCAGGAGGGAGGTGAAACTTAAGGCCCTCTCTCCTCAGGGCCCCGATCTGAATTGGGCCTGCGCAGGTGTGGGAATGAAGCTCTGAGCGTGGAGCTCTCACAACACACCTGTCGGCTGGACACAAGAATGCCATCGAGGAGCCATGCAGGTCTCTCTTGCAGCATTGCACTAAAGGAGGAGTTCAAGAGCAAACGGGGCAATCTGTCTTTCAGGGAAGCTGGTATGCTGCTGCTACGGATCTCCTTCAAGAAGGCTTGATAAACTGGCCAGGATTTTCTTCCCTTTCTACTTACTGCTCCTTCTCATCCGTATTTGGGAAAACCTTGCCCACACATGTTATCCTGAGCTCCTTGGAAGAAGGGGCACATATGAGTACGCAGGGCTCTTTTTGTAGAAAAAGTCCAGCAGGAACTCATTAGCATAATAGACCACACCCAACAGCAGAGACTCATAAGCAAAGTAGGCTACACCCCTGACAACACAGCTCATTAGCATATTAGGCCGCACACCCCATGTTACCAGAAGTGTAGTCATCCAGCCACACCCACCTTTTGCTTCTTATTCTGTTTACCTTGTTTGTTGTCAAAACCCAGGGCTTTTCTTGTAGCAGGAACTCCTTGTAGCAGGAACACAACCCTAACGTAGCCAATCCGAATGAGTTTCTGCTGTTGGGTGTGGCCTATTATGCTAATGAGTTCCTGCTGGGCGTGGCCAACTCGGGAGCCAGCCGGAACTCCGTTCCTGTGCGTTCCTGCCCAAAAATAGCCCTGAGTATGAGGAAGGGAATGAACGAATGAACAAACATCCCACTCAGAAACAAAAATCGAGTGCTTTTACAATGGAATTAGAGTGCGGAGGACAAGAAGAGATCAGTTGACGGTTCGAGGGACGTCCGCTCAGCCTCAACCAGGGCAAGGGCTTTTTCGGCCCTTGCCCCAACTTGGTGGAACAGGCTCCCACCCCAGATCAAGGCCCTGCGGGACCTATGACAGTTCCGCAGGGCCTGTAAAAGGGAGCTGTTCCGCCAGGCTTTTGGTTGAGGTGGTGGATGTTCAGCCATTCTCCCCCCCCCCTCCCCCGTTCATGGCCCCTTCCCAGCAACCTGCTGACCTAGACGATACTATTTGGGCACTGGAGCTCCCTAGGGTACCTATATCCACCTGACATGAGGCACAGGTTTTTCTGTTATTGTATATTGTGCCATCTACTGTTCTATTGGTTTTGTTGGTTTTATTTTTGTGGATTTTATGTTGTAAGCCGCCCTGAGCCCACTCGTGGGATAGGGCGGGGTGTAAATTAAATAATTAATAAGTAAATAAATACACACACACCCCGGTAGGGGAAAGCAGCAACTGTGCAAGGACCCTATGCCTCCCTTCTGCCAAGCGGAGGACCCTGCAGTCAGGTCTTAGTTCTCATGGCCCAAGAAAACCCACATGTTTCAACTCATATGCCTTAACTTGGTGTGCTCATACCCACATCAAAAATGGTGGAATGGGTCTGAGCGAGCGGGTTTTTGTTCCTGAGCACTGAGAGGTCCAGCAGACCCAATGACAGGACTTTCTCCACTGTAAAGGGATTCCACTCAGCTTGTGACTGGATCCAGCCCAGTAGCTTCCATTTCTAACTTCCACAAGCAGAATGGAAGATGGGAATGTGCTTTGGTGTTTATGACTCTGGCTGTGAAAAGAGTAATTAAGTCAGTTAGAAGGAAGCTGCGGTGGCTCAAGTGGTTAAGACGCTGAACTGCAGGCTGTGGAAGGTCAGTAGTTCAGCAGTTCGAGACCCGGGTGCTGCATGACAGAGTGAGCTCCAATCTCTAGTTCCAGCTCCTGCCAACCTAGCAGTTCGAAAGCAAGACATTGCAAGTAGATAAATAGGTACCACTTTGGTGGGAAGGTAACAGCGTTCCGTGCGCCTTGGTTTTTAGTCATGCCGGCCACATGACCACGGAAATGTCTTCAGACAGCGCTGGCTCTTCGGCTTTGAAACGGAGATGAGCACCACAACCCTAGAGTCGGATTCGACTGGCTTTCGAGCAAGGGAACCTTTACCTTTTTAAGAAGGAAATGGCAGGAGGAGGAAATGGCACTCCATCTTCGTTGTGCTCCATTTAGGGGCGTTTGTGTAAGAGTGGTGAAGTTGAGAGGACAACCCCCCACTTTGCACTGCAACCCACAGTCCCAAAGATCTCCTGATTTTCAGAAATAGCCTTTTGCAGGGCTTTTGGGGGTGGGGGCAAGAAGAGGTGCCAGAACTCTTGAGGGAAATGAAGTTTTCAATCTGCATACTGAAAACCCATGAATATTTACACATTTTTAAAATAATTCTGTCGAAGAGGTTCTGGAACTCCATTCCAGCACATTCCCCCGGGGGAAAAAGCCCTGGGTCCTTTTGGGGTTGGAGGGAGTCGGAGAAAGAACAGGCAGGCACCTATGATCTCTTCCGTGAGCTTAGTTCGGCTCCTAGAAGTCTGGATCCAACCCCACTGGCTGCCTCCTTAACTGAGGTGGAACAACCTAAATCACTTCTTGTGACAGTTCCAGGAACAACCCCCCCCCCCCATGACGAATGGCTAAAACAAAGGTAACCTTCACTCTGTAATGGACACACGGGCCTCCTTCCTTACTGTGTCAAGCGATTTCAGAAAGCCAGAGGTTTATTCAATGGTTTATTTATGCATAACTCCTTCCAAGTGTAATTTCTACATCTCTGCAAAGCTACGGGAGTCTTCATTTTAGCTGCTGGGCGATGCTATTTATAGAGCTCAGGAGTTCCTTAAAATAGCCGTCTTCGTCCCCTTCCCTTTGTTCTTCTGCTGCCAGCTCTTCGTATTCTCGGCGCAGGAGGCCCAAGGTGTGGTTGAGGCTGTGGTCTCCTTTATAGTTGTCTCTGCAGAGGGCCAGCAGCGCATGCACCGTCTTGAGGACCTTCTCCCTGGTGTCGTGTTCCGGCAGCCTCAAGAGGTTTGAAATGATGGCGCACCAGCCCTGTTCTACGATGGAGGGCCCCAAGTTCACCTGGCTGTACTGCTGCGTTCTTTCCCGCATGTGGTCGTCGTCGTCGTCGTCTTGAGACGCCTTGAGCAACAGCTGCAACAAAACCCTTTAAAATTAGTATTCATTTTGGCACATTTGCATTTTCAGCTAATGCATTTGTTTATATGCAGATGGTAACAACACGAATCTGCCCTCACTGATGGAGCCCCAAATCCCCCCCGGACATTTCACCTTTTCTTGAGCCCTTTTTACCCCACCCTCTGATTTGTCAAGATAAAATGCTGATGCCCTGACCTGGATAGCCCAGGTAAGCCCGGTCTCTTCAGATCTCAGAAGCTAAGCAGGGCTGACCCTGGCAAGTCCTTGGAAGGGAGACCTCCAAAGAACACCAGGGCCGGGAAGCAGAGGCAGGCTATCAAAACACTTCTCTGAATGTCCTCCATGCCCCAGTAGGAGTCGCCTTAGGTCGCCATGACTTCCAGGCATGCAAGCACACACACACACAAGCAAAAATACCAAAAAGGAAAAAAAATGTTGACCTGGCAGATTTAAAAAATTGTTCTCTGGCAGTGAGAATGGATCCCACAAATATGCAGAACTGCAAATGGATCCCAGCATGGCTAAGCAGCAGAGGCAAGGAGGCTTGGAAAAGGTTAGAAGGGCTCGATTTTAAAAAGAGGGTGCAGTTTTATCCAATTGGAAAAAAGATCCAGAGAAGAGATTCTGAAAACTAATTGCAAACTGACAAAGAAAAGGCAAGCACCAACGCGAGCGGGAGTGAAAGTCACTAAAAACACAAAACAAAATTAACAATAAACAATTATTTAAATGCAGTTGCAACAAGGAATCAACAGGGGTTTCAAATGACGAAGTGGAGAGAGGTGCATTGGAGGAAAACGGGCAGAGAGAGAAGCCACATCGATTCTCTGTGTTATTTTTCACCGCAGACAGGGTCAGAGAGCTACACGGGACCCTGAACTCCTACTTGCAATGACTGCATCCGAAACAGGGCAGTCAGCTGTGACTGAGGATGAAGGTTTAAAAGAAACCACAAAGTAAAGGCGGACCAGAGCCTGGACTGCATTCACTGGAGAATCCGTAAAGACCCGGGATAGTAAGTAGTTGACGGTGGGCAGCTGGGTTCGTCATTTTTTAATTATTATTTATTATTATTAGGGTCATAGACCAATAATCAACACAATAGGAGGCAGATAAATAACTGACAAAAGAACAGTAACATTATAAAATATAATAGCATCTAAAATTATAAATAGGAATCTAAAAAGTTTAAAGTACAGAAATGGTAGAATTAATATTAAGATCAGAAATTAAAAATAACTCTAGGCCTATCTGTACTTCTTTCTCTCTCTCCTAGTTTGGTATGCCAACCAACCAATAGAACAAAGTTAGAGTCAAGTGGCACCTTTAAGACCAACAGTTTTATTCGAGGAGTGAGCTTTCATGTGCAAAGCACATTTCCTCAGATACAATGAAATGGAATTACACATCATGTTTGTATATATACAGGGTGGCTTGTTAAATTAGCATGCAAAATAGTGAAGATGTTCTTTAACAGTAAAAAAGAATGACAAGCTTGGTTTCTGGTTCTCATCCATTTGGGTTCAACTGGGGGTGGAACAAAGGTAATAAACAGGGCTATTTTTGGGCAGGAACGCACAGGAACAGAGTTCCGGCTGGCTCCTGAGTTGGCCATGCCCAGCAGGAACTCATTAGCATAATAGGCCACACCCAACAGCAGAAACTCATTAGGACTGGCTACATTAGGTGTGTGTGGCCTAACATGCAAAGGAGTGCCTGCTACAAAAAAAGCCCTGGGTTTTAGCAACAAACAAGGTAAACAGAATAAGAAGGGAAAGGTGGGTGTGGCTGGATGAGGGGTGTGGCCTAATGTTCTAATGAGCAGTGCTGTCAGGAGTGTGGCCTAATATGCTAATGAGTTTTGCTGTTGGGTGTGGCCTATTATGCTAATGAGTTCCTGCTGGGCTTTTTCTACAAAAACAGCCCTGGAAATATGTCAGAACCGGAGATTGATGTACCCTAAATTGTGAGGATTCAGTCATCCGATCCCATCCATCTCCTTTCTAGCATGGAGGCAGACTTGAAAGCATCTTGGCTGTGCAGAATATTTTTCTTGTCACCAGAACAGAGAACTACATTTACATCTACCATTCCAAATTATATTACATATTCCATTATATTCTTAATTGTTAAGAGTAGTAAACTGAGATTTTTTTTAAAAAAGTAACATTTTGCTTCACTAAAACATGTAACATCCGTGAGCCCCCGCGGCTGTGCCATGGAGAACAGCTGGTTGTGCCACATGTGCGTGAGCGCATCTGCCAGGAGAAGGGTCTCCTTGCCAGCTGGGATCAGCAACCGGCCGTGGTGGCTTCCACCCAAGTTCTCCTCTACAAAAAAAATGGCACAGCCAACTCCAACAAGAGATTGCCTGGCTCAATTCGGACATGGCCAAGTGTAAGCAGTGCAATTCCGCAGGGCATGTAAGACACAGATGTTCCGCCAGGCCTTCGGCTGAGGACAGCAACGGGACAGTATGACATCTGGCACTTTCGGATATCCTCCCCATCCCTTGTAAAAAAAACAAACAAACCCACACACACAGGAGGCTGGGGAGCTGAATTTTTCTCCCCCCCCCCCGCCATCTTGTAATGTATGTTTATTTATTGACTCGTTTTTAGGGAGGTTTAATGCTGATTTTAATTTTAACTATTTACTGTACGCTGTCTTGTTGTAAGCCACCCTGAGCCCTACTTGTAGGGAAGGGTGGCCTAGCAAATCCAATTTAATCTCTCTTATATATAAAAGCCGAATGGTGGTGGCTTCTGTCCTATGGGGTGGCGAGATTGCATGCGCTCCCTCAGCCATTGCCCCATCAGCTGCCAGTCAAGACTACTGGCGTGCCATTGGCTGGGTCTGCTCCTCTTCCCTACCCACTCCCCTTTCAGCCACTGTGCTCTGTGTCAGAAGCACTCTGTCTCCCAACGAACACACTTCTCTTGCTTAGCTCCTGTGTGAGACAAAGTTTTCCCTCAGTGGCTGTTGTGAGGAACTCATAGGGTTGTCAGCTCCAGGTAAGGAGGCCAGTTTAAGGAAGCCAGAGTTTGGGGAGGGGAGAAGGGAGGCCTTAGTTGAATAGAATGCCATAGAGGCCACCAGCCAAAGCATTCTAACTTCTCCCTCAGTGGCTGTTGGTAGACAATCAAGCTTGGTTCTGCCAGTAAATAGACAAAGGAACAAAACCCTTTCTACGCCTTTGTGAGGAACTCATTGGGCCCAGTCCTGAATATGGTTGCCAGCTCCAGGTTTGGAAATTCCTGCTTCCCCCCAAATGCTGCCCTCCACAGGATCCACCCCCCAAAATCTCCAGGTATTTCCCTACTCAGAGCTGGGAAGCCTACTTTCCCCTCAGTGCCTGCTGGACAACCAAGCTTGGTTTCTGTCAGTAAAAGGCCCTTTCCACACCTATTTTGGCCTTGAAAGAAAACTCATTGTGTCCTTCTACCCTGCTGACAAGCCCCTCACCCCATGACAGCCAAAGTGACCTGGCAGTCAGGGCTTCAGAGCACAGTAGAGGCTGCAGGTGTGTGTGGGGGGGAGATGGAAAGCTGAACAGTTAGGGGAAAATGAAGGTAGCTTGATGCTTGGCTGGGAAGGAGATAGGGTTGCCAACGCCAAGTGGAAAATTCCTGGAGATTTGAGGGATGGAGCCTGGAAAGGGTGAGGTTTGAGGAGGGATGGGACCTCAGACAGGTACAGTGTCATAGACTCTGCCCTCCAAACCAGCCATTCCCTCATGGGAACCACTGTTGCCAAAATCTAGGTGAGGGCTGGAGATCACTCAGAATTACAACTGGTCTCCAGATGGCATTGATCAATTCCCCTGGAGAAAATGGTGGCCTCTGTGTCCTTATACCCTGCTGAGATGCCCCACCCCCGTGACAGCTAATGTGATGTGGCAGTCAGAGCTTCAGAGTACGGTGGGGGCTGCTGGTGAGGGGGAGATGGACAGCTGATCAGTGAGGGGGAAATGAAGGTAGGTTGATGCTTGGCTGGGAAGGAGACAGGGTTGACAACTCCAGGTGGGGGTTCCTGGAGATTTGAGAGATGGAGCCCTGGAGAGGGTGAGGCTTGAGGAGGAGTGGGGCCTCAGACAGGTACAATGCCATAGACTCTGCCCTCCAAACCAGCCATTCCCTCATGGGAACCACTGTTGCCAAAATCTAGGTGAGGGCTGGAGATCACTCAGAATTACAACTGGTCTCCAGATGGCATTGATCAATTCCCCTGGAGAAAATGGTGGCCTCTGTGTCCTTATACCCTGCTGAGATGCCCCACCCCCGTGACAGCTAATGTGATGTGGCAGTCAGAGCTTCAGAGCACGGTAGAGGCTGCAGGTGGGGGGGGAGAGATGGAAAACCGAACAATGAGGGGGAAATGAAGGTAGGTTGATGCTTGGCCGGGAAGTAAATAGGGTTGCCAACTCCAGATGGGAAAATCCTGGTGATTTGAGAGATGGAGCCTGGAGAGGGTGAGGTTTGAAGAGGAGTGGGGCCTCAGACAGGTACAATGTCATAGACTCTGCCCTCCAAACCAGCCATTCCCTCATGGGGAACCACTGTTGCCAATCTCCAGGTGAGGGCTGGAGACCACTCAGAATTACAACTGCTCTCCAGATGGCATTGATCCGTTCCCCTGGAGAAAATGGTGGACTCTGTGTCCTTATACCCTGCTGAGGTTGCCATAGCAAATTGATGCTGAGTGCCCACGGCCGTGGCACTCGCCTAGAGCCTCTTTCTAGAGCTCATTGTGTTTATTTCCACAATGGGCCTTATTCCTAGTAAACAGATAAATAAATTCAGTGAGGGGCAGTGTTCCCTCTAAGCTGAGTTAGTGTGAGCTAGCTCACAGTTTTTCAGCCTCCAGCTCACACATTTTTGTCTTAGCTCAGGAAGGATGGCTCCAGAGCAAACTAATTTGTACAGTAGCCAAATCACCTGCTCACAACTTTAATGCCAGTAGCTCACAAAGTGGAATTTTGTTCACAGGACTCTGCGGCTTAGAGGGAGCATTGATGAGGGGATGTGAACAAGCTTTGCTGCCACACAAACACAGTGCATTACCGAAAGGGCTACTCAGAAGTCAGGAATGTAACAATAGTTGGGACATTCTTCTTTACGCTTCACTGAAACCCTACCTCTCATTAAATGCCAAATTTTTTCCCTCCTCTCCTCTGTGGACAAAAGTAAAAAATACCTTTACTGAGAACCTATTTAGATATCTGAAATACCACAAAACGGACAATGGATAAGATTGCTGCAGTTGTTGTTTCAGAATCACCATAATTAATGCAAATTTGGGATAGGGTCTCTCTTTTAAAGATGACATATCCCTGTTGCTAATGCTCTTGGGGAGGTAACCACAATAATAAATAAAAAGGTTGCACCCAGAAGGAAAACACAAGGAGCCCACTGGAGGGGGTGCGGGAAAATGGCCAGAGCTGTGAGAGGAAGAAAAACGTTTGAAACCCATTTACAGCCGTTCCGTGTGGCCGAGTACATTAAAGAAGGTTAGTGGGAGACAACCGAGGGCAGGCCCACCCCTACCTCCATGGCAGTCGGTGACAGATTTAGTGTATCATAAAAGCACTGAAATCCTACCCACAGGTTATAGCATCATTCTGACTAGCTCAAGCAAATCTCCCAAGCTCTAAAAATGGCTGCCCCTCCCCTCCTGCTCAAACACAGTCTTTTCTACAGCTGGAACAGGGGCCAGCACCCACCCCCTCCACAACCTGCTGTCGAACCAAGTCGTTAGACCTCACTGCCCGTTGCTTCAGGGCCTCTGGGTACCCCAATGACACTCATAAGAGGTGGGCTGTACGGTGTTTTTTTTTTAAAGACAGAAAATTGGCTTTGTAGCCTCCCGCTAATTCAGCTCAAAGTTGTGCCACTGCATCTTACAATCAAGCTCTACACCACCACTCGGTCTCTCTTCTGTGACCGGTCTTAGCCAGAAAAAGTGCCACATAAAAGGCCCAGGGGGAATCCAGTGGGCAATGAAGGCAATACCTGTATGACAGGCTAGGTTCTTCTGCCTCTCCCTAAAAGTGGCCAATGAGAGCAGACAGAATGTTGAGAGCAGGAGTTAGGAAAAGAGCAGTTGAAAATGACAGGAGTTCGTAGCAGAGAAGTTGACAGCTGAGGAGCTGAGGAGAGAGGAAAAAGGAGGATTTCTGACTTGTGTGGAACTGTGCGGATGAGCTGTTTAGAGCAGGCTGAAAATAGTAAATCTGCAACTAAAAGACCCCAGTTGTAGGAACAGGACCTCAGTTCATGAGTTCAATGGAAGTGAAACGTCGTGAAATGGCTGTGGGTAGCTCATGGTGTCCTGACCTACATATAACCCATAACCTGAGAGAGGGGCTTAAGAGGGTGGTAGGCACTCTGTGTGAGGGAAAAGGGGCGTCACTCACAGCCTGTTACTGGAGGAATGGGGTAAACGGGTACAGAGCAAGACTCCACGGGTAGATTTTGGAAACACTGGGCTTCCTAGTGGCTGGCATCCCCAGGGCTGTATCTGTGGGAGGAAGGATTTCTACCCCTAGAGCTCCGCTTCCTTGCTTCCTTGTGAACACATGGAGCTGCCTTATGCTGAAATCAGACCATCAGTCTATTAAGGTTAGTACTGTCTAGTAGTCTGACTGGCAGTGGTTCTCCAGGGTCTCAGGGGGAGGTCTTTCACGTAATCTGCAGCCTGGTCCTTTCAACTAGAGGTGCCAGCAATTGAATCTGGGACCTTTTGCGTGCCAAGCAAGAGGCCCTGCTCTCAGGCGCTGCAGCCCAAAATGCCTCCCACCAAATGCCACTCCCCAGGCACAGGTGACTCCCCTGAATTTCATGAATTATTCTGGGCAGGAGCAGGGAGTCAAGAAAATCACACTCCACGGGCTGAACTGAATTCCTCCTGCTCGTGGAAATGCGGTGCAGCATCAAAGTGTTCCTAACTAGTTAAAAAAGCTACTCAAACATTTTAACTGCTACCAAATGGCAGTCGGTGCCCCTAGAAGCTAAAGTGGCTAAACTGAGGTGGTACCAAATGGGCACTCCTGTCAGACTATCGCCCTTATAAGGACTCAGATTTTTCCCTCCAAATTTTCAGTTCCCCATCTGATAACTGGGTAGCCTTTAGGCAGCAGGTCAGTCTTCTTATGTGGCAAATAAACTTTTATTATAATGATTCCCACTTCAATTTTTAAGCAGTGTTCCATTCTCCAGGAAGCTGCCTTCACCCAATCAGAATGAGCTCCATGAGCTGTGAATCATTTTTCAGCCAGCTCACCCTTTTCCCAGCAACATTACCTAAAGGCCTACATTTGCTTGCTGTCCGTCACAGAGGCCATCGTACTTTGGTCACGTTCTGAGAAGACAAGAGCCACTGGGAAAGACAATAGTGCTAGGGAAAGTCGAAGGCAGCGGGAAAAGAGGAAGGCCCAACATGAGATGGAATGACTCAATATAAGAAGCCACAGCCCTCACTGTGCAAGACCTGAGAATAGCTGAAAACAACAAGACATTTTGGAGGTCATTAATTCAGAAGGCTGCCCTAAGTCGGAAATGACTTGACAGCACTTAAGACACGCAAAAGAAAGGAGTGGAACCTAGACATCCACAAGAGTAAAGCTTTAAAAAGGCAGATTGAAAAAAGAAGCTAAGTTTTCCTCAAGGGGTGAAATTGATTAGACTGGGGTTGAAACTGATTAGCTCAGCAGCTGCTTGCAAATAGCGGTGGTTTTGTGGTGCGGTTTTGTGGCTGAGCTATGAACCAATATGCTGGTTCAGTGGGTAGCAGAAAGCGGGGGGTTAAATCCATTTAAACCAAACACCTGTCCTGAAGAGCTTGGTGAACCATGAACTGGCCAAAATTTGTAACTAACTTCAGTTTGCAAGCTGGTTTGTGCCCATCCCTACTTGCAAACTAACCAACCTCCACCACTCCCTTGACTTGGATGGGACTTACTGAGAACAGGAGGAGAGTGGAAATAAAGAAGGAAAGAGCCTTCTTCCTGCACAGGGGATCTGCCCCCATTGCAATTCAGTGTTGGAGAGCTCCCACTGCTAGATCCTGGCCCATTCTGCATCTAGGATTCACTCCCTTGTTTTACCAAACCCAGACTGGAGCAGAAAAAGATGCGGCTCAATACCACATTCAAATACCCCGGGGCCAACGCCATACTGACTGCAGAGTCACTCCTGAATGGCCATAAATCTATGCAGATGGTACCATAACACCGAGAGATCAAAGAAAGTGAAACTGGCATGCAGTGTGGAGGCTACCATAAAATCTGGCAATCAAATAAAGCAAAAGTGGCATGCAATGCAGAGGGGAACTTTTGTTCCAAGGTGGGCTTGGTAAAACAGCGGAGCGAATGCTAGATGCAGAATGGGCCCAAGGCTAGTGCCACAGCAGCAGTAAAGGGGTCCAGGGGGGGTAACTCCTAGGGGTCCACAGAAATTAGCGCCTGGACACAGCCAAGCAGCTCGGTTCAATCAGTCAAACTCCCAGACGGGCACGGCGAGAGACAGCCATCTGGCTCAGCTTATGAAGCAAAGAGGTTACTTACTGCACATTGTTGCCAGATACGGAACACAATGGGGGCCTCTATTTTTTTTTTTAATTCCTTCGCTTTAACTCGGCAGCCTCCTGTGTTAATTGCTTCATTAATTAGGTCTTAATCACAAGAGTCTCCTTACTACTATATTATCATTAAAGAAGATTGCTCTTCTCAAGCCATAGAAACAAAGTCAAATCAGCAAAATTATAGTGGGATGCCGCCATGGGAACACGCGATGCTCCCTTGTGCCTTAAGTAACACTCTCCCTTTTCTGACCGATGAAACCCCCTCTCATTTCCCTGCAAACTGAGGCTGCACCAGCCTGCAATTTATATTTTATGGAGGGATCCAGACATTTTACCTTCGTTTGTCCTGCGTATCATCTGTCTGAGCTCTGTCAGTGTTCCTAGACATACACCTGGCCTTGCTTTCTAGCCTGCATTGTTCTACAGTACCCCTTATGGACCAATACTCAGTAGAAATGGTCTAATAACAAAGCTCACTGCCTTGATTTCAAACTATTTTCGTACGAATACGTGGCGTGATCGATCACTAGGTCAGTAGAAAGGTTTCCGCAGTTCTTTGCCTTGAAACTTAGTATGTGAGTTTCTCCTACGCCGTTGCAAGACACGCTGGCAACAAGAAAAAATGTGCGTAATTTTTGCTAGAAGGGAACACCCACAAAATACAAAACACCACTGACGTCTGATCCATTCCCATGTGGCCATGCTTGTTCTGGGATCTGCGGCGCATCGCCAATTACCTTTTCTGTCATCAAGTCATAGACGAGTGTCACAATGCGGATGTGTAGCGTCTCCATTCCATTCTCCGTGCAGAGATCTCGGAGTATCTGAAGTCCTCCAAGTCTGAGGAACTGTTGCTGGGCGTAGGGACAGTTTCACAGCATTGATGACAAAGCAAAGAGAGCCTGGAAATTAAAAGGAAGCAGGCACTTATGAGTCTAGGATCTTTCTGATCCATCCACGTGTCTTCCTGAACAACTTCAGCCTTTCTGTGATACTCTACGATTAACTAAATGTATCAGATTATTACATTTTCACCATTTTGTTTTCAGGGATCGACAGAGCCTAATTCTCACTGAAATGGACAATCAGCAGATGGAATTCCTGGAAATTGCCTCCTGGTGTTAAGGGGATAACAACTTTGGATGCAGAATTTCGCGATGCTATTGGATGGTTTGCAACCTCTTTATACCAGGGATGCAAGGCACCTTTTCCCCTCTTCCTTCCTTCCTTTTTTTTTCTTGTTGGTATTTTTGCATTTTTGAGTGTGTGTGTGTGCCCATACCTGAAAGTCATGGCGACCTCTGGTGACTCCTACTGGGGCACAGAGGATGTTCAGAGAAGTGGCTTGATAGCCTGCCTCTGGCATCCTGTCCCTGGTATTCCTTAGAGGTCTCCCATCCAAATACTTGCCCTGCTTAGCTTCCGAGATCTGACAAGATCGGGCTTGCCTGGACTATCCAGGTCAGGACGTCTTTCCCTCTTCCTTTCAATTGGACAGGAGGAAGAGGAGACTGGATTTATACCCTGCCCTTCACTCAGAGTCTCAGAGTGGCTTACAAACTCCTTTCCTTTCCCCTCCCCACAACAGACACCCTGTGAGGTAGGTGGGGCTGAGAGAGCTCTGACAGAAACTGCTCTTTTTCAAGGACAGCTCTGACAGGACTATGGCTTGGGGTTGGTTTGATGATGAGTGCAGGCAAGCAAAGAGACAGGTGCAGCAGACCACCCACTGATAATTTCAGCAGGTTAATTCAGCGGCAGCACTGCATAGATTGGTTTTGGCAAAGAAGGTCTGCAAGGCCCTTATTTTCTTTAAGAAATACCAGCACCGTGTTGCTCAATAGCACCAGCCTGTATTAATTTATTTTATTTTATTTATTTATTATTAAATTTATACCCCGCCCTTCCCCGTGGGGCTCAGGGCGGCTTACAAGGCAAGAAAAAAACTTGCTAATAAAACATCAATACCATAGTACAATTAAAACATCATGTACAATTTAAAACCCATTTAAAACATTAAAGTGCTCAAAAACTTAACCACATTTAACCACTTCTTACTTGTGTTACATTGTTGTTACACATTATAATCGAAAGCCTGGTGGAAGAGCTCTGTCTTGCAGGCCCTGCGGAACTGCACCAGGTCCCGCAGGGCCCGGATCTCCTCCGGGAGCTCGTTCCACCAGGTGGGGGCCACCACTGAGAAGGCCCTAGCCCTTGTGACAGCCAGTTTAGCGTCCTTGGGGCCCGGCATAGTTAGAAGATTCTGGGCCCCAGACCGTAGCGCTCTTGGGGGAACACCCTCAGGTAGGCGGTCCCTCAGGTAGGCGGTCCCTCAGGTAGGGGGTAATAGTCTGCTTGCCCTGACCTGGACGGCCCAAGTTAGCCTGGTCTCATCAGATCTCAGAAGCTAAGCAGGGTCAGCCCTGGTTAGTATTTGGATGGGAGACCTCCAAGGAAGTCCAGGGTTGCTATGCAGAGGCAGGCAAGGGCAAACCACCTCTGAACACCTCTTGCCTTGAAAACCCTACAGGGTCACCGCAGGTCAGCCACGACTTAAGGCTACTTTACACACACACATTCAACAGGAGGACGGATTTCCATCCCAGAACAGGATCAGTGAGTATCATTTTGTCACAGTATTGGGGGGGGGGACGTGGAGGGGAGAGAAAGAGAAAGAATTGGTGCAGAGATTTCACTGGCTGTTGGGGAAAGCTGTACAATCTTATTGGTCCACACAAAATCCAAAAACAAAATCTTTGTAACGCATTTTTTAATAGGACCGACCAAATCTACACAAAACATTGTGCAAGCTTTCAGGTTCGCCAGAGCTCGTCATCAAGCTGGATGTTACCAAACTTTAAAAAACTTTAAAAGAAAGCAAGATCACAGCCGGAGGAATCTGCCTTCTATCTTTTTCAGTTTTTGGTAACATCCAGCCTGACGAAGAGGTCTGGCAAACTCAAAGGCTCACAGAGTGTTTTGCGTATGCTTGGTTGGTCCTAAAAGTTATCTATTTACTATTTATTTTATTGGATTTATGAATCACCCACTCTGCAAGTGGGCTCAGGGCAATTTACAACCTTAAAACATTTAAAATACCACTGACGTATAATTAAAATTCTCACAGGGGCCACATGACCACGGAGAGGTCTTTGGCCAGTGCTGGCTCTTCAGCTTGGAAACAAAGATGAGCACCGCCCCCTAGAGTCGGATTCGACTGGCTTTCGAGCAGGGGAAAACTTTACCTTTACTTTGCTAAAATAATCACAGTAGAACAGTAAATTATAAATTAAAACCAATCCAAGATGGCATAGTAGTCCTCCTTTGCTGGCCACACTGCTGTCCCAGATAGCAGGGCAGGGTATGTGCGGGCCATAGAAGAAAAAGAGAGCGGTCTAGTAGTCCTAAGTTCCCCTTGCTGCCCTCAACCAAAAGCCCGGCGGAACATCTCTGCCTTACAGGCCCTGCGGAATTGCATCAAATCCCGCAGGCCCAATGTTGTTTGGCAGAGAGTTCCACCAGGTCGGGGCCAGGACAGAAAAGGCCCTGGTCGAGGACAGCCAGACCTCCATAAAAGGTATGTCGTGGCTTTTGTTCTTGTTTTGATTAGTGACCAGAACGAGCCACTGTGCATCGGTCCCCAGACACCTTGTGTCTCAGTTGACAACCCTTCCCAGGGACAGCCTGTGTTGGATGAGCCCAGCGCTGCAGGAGATTCTTTCTCTTCTGGGACCCCACCTCTCACAAGCATAATGAGAACAAAGGGGAGGAGGATTATTGTTGCAGATTTTAGGGACGGTGGAGGGGGTAGCAAGGAACTCCGTAATGCCGCTCACTCAGTGTCAAGTCAAGTCAAGTCAGCCTTTATTGGCATAAATGCTCACTCAGTGTATTTAGAAAAAAGTTTGAGTCCAGTGGCAGCCTTAAGACCAAGGTATGAGCTTTCGTGTGCGCACCCACTTCCTCAGATACAGTGAAATGGAACTTACCGGTCCATACCAGTAGGGGCTGAGCAGTAAACTAGCATACAACATAATGAAAATATTTATCATGTGGACTTGACTTGTCATCTCTGTTTGGGTTTTGCATCTGTTAAAAGCATCTTCATTATGCTACATGGTAGTCATATAAACCAAACTTGTTATTCCTGGTTCTGAAAAAATATCTTCATTACGTTGCGTGCTACTTTACTGTTCATCGTCTGCCTGTATGTACGGACTGTTAAATTCCACGTCAATGTATCCGAGGAAGTGTGCGTGCACACGAAAGCTCACACCTTGAATAAAATTTGGTCGGTCTTCAAGGTGCCCCCACTGGATTCAAACTTTGTTCTGGTGCTTCGGACCAACACGGCTGCCCCACCTGGGTCAGTATATTTACTCTGCTTTGTTCATAACCCTGCTTTTTCCCCCACTGGGGACCGATGCTCCCTCTAAGCCGTGGAATCTTGTGAGCAAAAGTTCGACTTTGTGAGCTACTGGCATTAAAGCTGTGAGCGAGCGATTTGGCTCCTGCGTCAACTGGTTTGTTCTGGAGCCCTCCTTCCTGAGCAAAGGCAAATGTGTGAGCCGGAGGCTAAAAAACTGCGAGCTAGCTCACACTAACTCAGCTTAGAGGGAACAAAATGGCCTAGGTCATTCTCCTCTCCTCCACAGGCAGAGTGCGTCTGTCTGGCCTAAGGTCACCCCCCCCTCCCCAGCTTCCATGGTGGAATGGGGAGTCGGACCTGGGTCTCCCAGACCCTAGCCCAATGCTCTAACCACTACGTTCAGCAGGAGGTGGTGGTTGGTCGGCTGGCCTTGGTACAGTTTATCATTTGAACAAAAGAGGGCAAAAGATTGCCCGGCACGCTTCTAATTGTTCTGAATATACATTATCATACACTGGCTCACAATGACCACAGAGTGTCTGGCTACCTCTGGATGTCCACTTTAAGCCCACTTTTAAGCCAAGATGGGTGCAAACCTGCACACGAACACACCCCACCCTCCTTTCTTATACGGAGAACTTCAAACAGATATTTATTCCAGTTACACCCATATGAATGCAAGTACCCAGGTGTTTAGTCATGCTGGCCACATGACCACGGAAACGTCTTCGGACAGCGCTGGCTCTTCGGCTTTGAAACGGAGATGAGCACCGCAACCCTAGAGTCGGATTCGACTGGCTTTCGAGCAGGGGAACCTTTACTTTTACTTTACCCAGGTCAACTGGAAGTGGCTTTCCTCTCTCTGCACTAGGATTCTGAGACTCCACAGTTTAGAATCCTGGTTTGTGGAGATGGGAAAGCGCACATCTGCATTTGTATGTAACTGGAATTAGTGTCGAAGGAGAGATCTCTGTGCAAGAAGAAAGTGTGTGGAGGGGGGAGGAATGAGGTGCCTGCATAATCATGACAACAAGATGGGCCCAGACACATCCTAGGTTATAACATCTGCATGCAGACTTTGCTTCTTCTTCAAGATGGTTTCCTTGCATATTTGCATCTTTTATTTGTAGGAAGAGCGCTATTCCACTGCTGAAAATGAAATTCAAGCAGAGTTTCTTCTGCAGGCTGCTTTTACATGTATTAATAATGTGTCCTGCCAGTGATTTCAGTTTTCTACAAAAACAAAAACTGAACAATTCTAGGGAGATTCAACTCCACCCCCCCCCCATCGCTCTCTTCCACCAGCAGGTAAAGACCTACCTGCATCAAATGGTATTATCTCACTGACTCCATTCATGTGCTTTGTTTGAAATTGGTTTTATACCATGTTTTTTTTTCAAAGCTTATTTTAATGGCTTTGACTGTTCACAGCCTCGGAGACCCTAAATTGGACGGAAAGGCAGCATAAAAATGTTTTAAATAAATAATGCCCCCCCCCAGAAAATTATCTGATGCCTTAAGTGGAGCGTGATC